TGAACTCCTAGAAATGCAGGCCCAGCCAGAATGTGTACCAGGAGCCAGCTCTGGTTTGGCAGGATCGAGGAAACCAGAGCTCAGCCCCCCTTAGCTGCTCATCCCTCCACTTTCCCCTCACACTGGGGTGGCACAGGGTTAAGGCAAGAACCCTGTCCCAGCACCTGGACCCGTCAGAGCCCCGTCAGCCTGCTTGTCCCCAGCTCCCATCTCAAAGATCCACACTCCCCTACTTACTCCATTTTGGGTTCTCTGATTTTGCAAGAGCCCCTCTTATTTCCTCCTCTCTGGGTCCTGCCAATGTGTCTACTGAATGCACACGGTAGGCACAGGGGTTTCAGAATGAACATACGGGAACGCCCATCTCTACTCCCCAAACCCTGCCCTCAAGCCTGGAAGCCATCACTTTTCCCTCTCTCTTCCAGCCAGTCAGAAAAAGAGACATGCTATGCTCCACGACATGAGAGATAGACAGACAAGATAGACTGGGTTACTTCTGGCCCCTCCCTACTTCAAACAAATGACATGCTTAATTCTGCATACGGTCCCACTACGAGGAAATCCACCATTTGCTCCCCCTGCCCATTTACACTCCTGTAGGAAAGCAAATACCCTTTACCTCTACCTGGCACCACCATGCAGCCCAGCCATCCTGAGGCCGTGGTGCAGAGGAAGGGTCCCGGGAGATGAGGAGACACCTGGGGCTAGAGGCACAGGCTTTTGAGAGGGCTGGGGAAATGATGCATGATTTTATTGCACTTAAGAGTGTGTGTGTGTGTGTGTGTGTGTGTGTGTGTGTGCGTGCGCGCATGCATCCATCTGTCCTGGAACCAAGGAGGTGACCCAACAAGGAAGCCCGCATGGCCCATCACCCTGTGGTTCTAAGCAGAAGGTACCTTTTGTGTGGCCATCAGTACCTCCAGGCCCTCCGAGAGCCCAGAACACGTACCAGATGTCAAAGGCAGCAGGGTTCCTACTGAGACCAGAGGCATGGTGCAACCGGTAGTAAGGAAAAGTGTCCATTTCCATACAGAATTCCAGATGGTGATGGGAAGGACAGACAACTTCAGTCTCCCTGCAGGGAGAAAGGTTCTTGCCTCTTGAGATGACCGATCAGTGGTAGGTTCCAAATCTGAGGCTCTCTGCCTGTTCCTATATGGACAGGAGGCTCCATTTCCAAACACTATGAATTTTCCCCTTTGAAAAGAGAAGATGCTAGTCTTCCAGTCATATTTTTCTTCTCCATCTTCTGGAGAATTCTATCTCATTTTTATTTGTCTCTATTACCACCCTAAGAAGGCCTAAGGGACGAACCAGGGTGGTACTGGCAGGGACCCTTAAGAAAGGCAGGCAAGCAGGATGCACAGCTCCGACAAATTAGGGAGAGAGGAGGCTGGGCCAGGCTGGTGAGGGGGGGGGAGGGGGAGGGGGGAGGGGGAGGGTGGGGGGGTGTCAGTCCTATTCCTGCCCTTCTCCCTTGCCCTGACTGGAGGCTCTAGTCCCTGGCAATTTAGTCTCAGCTCTACACCTGGGCAGCAGCAAAAATCTCACACAAGTTGCCAGTTCTGTCTGGCTTCAATTTCCAGCCTATAAAATGAAGGTTTATACTCCAATATTTCCAGTATTCGGCCCAGTAAGTGGCCTGGCAGTGCTGGTGAACTAGTTAAAGAAAAGGTCATCATTGGATGGCACTCCGATGGCCAGACACTTGCTGGGGTGTGAAACTTTACCTCGGATTCAACTCCCAAGCTGCTCTTCTACTCTGGGCATTGTTGACCTACTTTACAACCTAAGAAAATTGGGGTTCCAGCAGCTTAATTAAGTTCCCTAGAGCCTTATCTCAAGTGCCAAGCTCCAAGGCCCTTTTCACTCTGACACACGTACACCCTAGGGATGTTCCAGCTGTGTGCCTTGGGTTCTAGGGCTCCGGATCCACCTCAGAGGAAGCTATTATCAGCCAGAGGAGTCACAGAATCCTGACAAAAATAGACTCATGGCTGCCTTGGGCCTGGGGAGACTGAGAAAGGATGGGAAAGGGATGAGGGCAGAAAAAGCCCCTAGGATGGGAGGAAGTTAAGAATAAAAGCTTGGGCTTCGGCACATTTGGTCTAGAGGGGAAGTCGAAGGGTTAAAATGTAGGAAAGGAAGGATGGCTTCAAGAGGGGGCGACCCTTCCCTCCTTCACACAGCCCTCTGAATCCAAACCCCTCCCATGGCACCCCACCTCCCCATCACATCTGTCTCAAGTATCCAGTGAGCTGAGGTCCCAGAAGCACAAGGGTACCTCAGTACCCAGCCTGGGATCTGCCCAGGCAAGGTAGGGGCTCAGCAAAAGCCGAGGAAATTACCAGATCAAAGAAAGCCACCCTCTTCCAATCCTCCTGGGGCCCTCCCTGCTAGGAAAAGGTGTGTTTGGAGTCAGGACCCAGTAGGATAGCACATTCCTGGCAAGAAGGGACCTACCTACCAGACAGTCAGAAAGGAAGCTTTTGGCCAAAGGTAGAGGAAAGGGGTAGGGAGATCTGAGAAGGAACAGGAGTGGGTCCCCCAGCAAGTCAGGCCTGTCCTGCTCCCCAGTGTTCAGAGGCTCCTCAATTCCAACCCTGCCTTAGCCTCAGAAGAGACTGTAACCAGGGTCTCCTCCAACTTCTAGGGTGGGCATTAGGGTAAAATGTAGTAGGAGCTTGGTGAGGTGTGTGGAACACATACCTGTAATCCCAGCATCCCAGAGGCTGTGGCAGAAGGAACTGGCCTAAGCAACATAAAGAGACATTGTCTCCTCAGCCCTCCCAGAAAACAAAACAAAAACAACAAAACACAGCCAGGCACTGAAGTGTCCCGGCAAGCTGAGGTTCAGGTATCACCGGGTCTGAAGCAAGTGTGGAAGCGAGGGTCCCAGAAAAGTCCTGACACCAGGCTGCCTTGCCCAACTGGCTGCAGTGGTGGTCCACTGCATTCTTTACACACGCTGTTCTGAGGGTACCTCAGAGCTTATCCAAGTGCCCCTCCAACCTCCAGAAGACAGTCCCTGCCTGAATCACCCTGGCAAGGTAAAAGTTTCTCAAGTTTAAAAAAAAAAAAAAAAGCCGGCAGACTTCCCCACAGCGGTTTTCCGCGGGGGCGGGCAGAGGTCGTCTGAGGCCGACCGTTCCCCTTCAGGAGCCTCCCCCTGGCTCCTCCGTTGATCTCAACCAGGGGCTTAAAATGCCGAAGCCGCAGGGTACCTAGGCCAAGGCGTCGGCCCATTGAGGTTCTCGGGGGCCAGGGCGGGGTGGGGGTGGAGGCTTAGCATCTCCAGGAAGCGGGAGGGGGGGCAGCATGGACCACCCGCTGCTCCTTTCTTCGTGAGAGATGGGACGCTCGGGCAAACCACAGCGACAGTCGCGGACGCAGCGCTCCTCCGACCCTGAATTCCAGACCCTACGCCGCCGTCGACTGCCAATCCAGGCAAAGACGCTTTAAGTTCAAGGTAAAAATCCCGCATTAGCCAAAACTCTTTTCGAACTGCTCCGGAACCGCCAAACGGTGGCTTTGGACTCAGGTTTATGTCTTCTGGTTCCCAAACCCACCCAGCTCGGAGCGCCACGGTCCACCGGGTGGTTAGAGCCGTGCAAGGGTGCACCACACGCGCTCATCTCCAGATATCTGAGATCCCAGGTGCCAAGCCAAGGAACGTGAAAACACGCACGGCGGTGTTGGCATTAAGAGGCCCGGGGTGCAAAGGGGAGGGCCACTGTCTGAGAGCAAGGACACCCCCATACCCTTGTCCTCCCAACCTAGAGTCAGCAGATGCTGCATGAGGGTGTTCACGCGGGCGCCTCAGTTGGGGAGAGAGTCAATCTGTAATGGTCAGGGCCCTCTGCCTAAGAATCCGCGTCCCACGAAATCACACGTTCCTTCACACAGGTGGCCGCGGGCCCAGGTCTCTAAGGGCATTCAACATTCTGGCGCCATCGGGTTCTGCTCCGGCACAGCCCAAGAAGCAGAAGTTTTACGTAGAAGCGGAGTGCAAGGTTTGAGCACCGCTGAGGGTGGCCGCGGGTCAGGGAGGTGTCGGGGAGACGAAAGGGTTGTCTAGTGAGTCACCAGACCCTCAGTCAGGAGGAATGGGGTCCAGCTGGGTCACTCCGACAGCCTCATCTCTGATGGCACTGGGCCCTCCCTCCAGCCACTTTACTCCCCCACTACCCCGCAGGAGCTCTGTCCCAAAGGGGAAGATAGCCAAGCACCGGGTCAGTCCCCTACCGACCAGCTCCGACACACAAAAATCACAGGGGCCTTTACTAGTCTCTCTCTCAAGTCCCCCAGAAGTTTTCCGCTCTATCACAGATCTGATTAAGGGATGCGGGGAAAGAAGGGTGGACTTCTCAGCACTTCCGAGGTGCGACTAAGGCAACGAGGTGTTTGAGATTGTTGGTCGTCCCCCCCCCGCCCTCCCCCCAAGTCCCTCTGCCTCCTGCTAGTCCTGGGGAGTCCCGCGTAGACTGGACTTGGGGGCATCACACTTGACCACTTCCCTTCCCGGCTCAGGAAAGTCCGGGCCGGGAGTATTCTTTGTCTCACTCCGGGAGGGGGGGTCGCGCCCCCTAACACCCCATTCCCAGCAGCGAAGCCCGGAGGGGGCGGAGCCCAGATTCTTTGGGCAGGGCGGGCCTCAGTGGCCTCTCCAAACCGCCCCCGTGGCCGGCTTCCCGCTGGCCCCCAACCCCGCGCCGCAGCCCCCACCTGTTCCCCAGACAGTTGCAGTCCGCTGGGGGCCCGGGCCGGGGGCAGGGTTTCGCAGCTCACCCGGGTCAGTGAGACGCGGCTGGCCCCGGCTGGAACAAAGTGCTCCGGCCCCGGGCCGGGCTCCTCCCGGCGCCCGGCGCGCCTCGGGCCGGCAGTTTGCAAACACAAAGTGAGACAGGGAGCAGGCGAGAGAGTGAGCGAGCTGGGGAGTTCGACGAGTCGTCAGCCCAGCCCCCACCCAGGTCCCTGGGGTCCCTGGATCGGCCACCTACCTGTCCGGCCCGGCCGCTCAGTGCGGGCTCCGGCCCGTCAGCCCGCACGGGGCATGGGGCTCGCTCGGGTCGCAGCCCGGGCCCGCCGCCACCCGCCGGGACTGCCCCTGCGCGCCGCGCCGCTCCGAGGCGATCTTTCCAGTGCCGATCGCCGCGCGCCTCAGCCCCTGGGGGGCATCGTACTTTGTAGGATGGCTCGGCTCTCTCTGGCTTCCGATCGTCCGTCCCCCGGCTCCCGCGACGCTCCTGAGCTCGCTCCGGCTCCGGAGCTCCGGGACCCCGGCGTCCCCGCCCCCGGCCCAGCCCTGGTTCCGGCCCGGGCTCCTCCCCGCCGCGCCGTGGCCGCCTGCGCCGCGCCCTGATCGCGTGCTGGGGGGCTCCGTCCCGGCCGCCGGTGGCACTGTCCGGCCCGCAGGGGCGGCCGGCTCCGGACTCCGAGGGGCTGCGACTGAGCTCCGGCTGCGAGTGGCTGCGAGCGGGCGGCGCGCGGGCGGGGCACACCGGGCGGGGGACCGGAGGGGTGGAGGGAAGGAGAGAGCGCGCCGAGCGACGGGGAGGAGAGAGCGAACGAGAGAGCGGCGGAGGGAGGGGAGACTAACTTCTAGTGCTACCATAATTCGCCTAAAGCAGGTGCAGCCACTTTTTCCCCCCGCGAGGCGGCCAGCGGCGAACCGAAGACCACGTGGACCAAACTTTGGGGAAGGAAAAATGGGGACGTGGGGCTACAGATCTGCTAAAGTCGATAGGCCGCAGAGGTTCACACTGGGCTAGGGACGTCCTATGGGATGCTTCATAAACTCTGGTCTTTTCCAGGAGCCTGGAGGTACGGCCAAGTCCTGCTGGCACACGGTTCACTGGTTTCGGGCCGGCTGCGCCTGGCGCGGGGAGTGGTCAGGGGGCCCCCCCGAGTTCAGAGCCGGCGTCCGGCGCGGGCCCTGCCTTGTCTCCTTCCGACTCCCCACTGTGTGGGGGCTGGGGCTGGGGAGGCTCTTTCTGGGCTTTGTGAACGAACAGTCGTTCTCCCAACCCCGCGCACGCGCTGCCTTGCTCTGCAAAGGGGAATTTCCTATAAAGTGCTGTGAGAACCAATGAAGAGGGGGCTGCAGGCTGGATCCACGCGGGCCAAGCGCAGGGCGAAGTCGAGGCAATTATCCGAACAAATTAGATTGTAAACAAAACTCGGTGTCCCTGAATACCGCTTGTGCCCAGAGGGACTGGGACGGTGGAGGTGGGGACAGTGGAGTGTGTTTGGGTTGGGAGGGGGAAGTCCGGGCACGGAAAGGCCCACGTTCATAGGGGGAGGGTTAGGTTGGGTAGCAGGCGCCAGGCTCAGACTGGTGGAGACCTGGAGGGAAAAAATCCTCCCACTACTCTCTACCCCAAACATCTTCCCGGTCCGGGTGTGTAAAGTGATGAGGGGTGCCTCGGGGTCTCTCCATGGTAGCCCTTACCCTGCCCATTGATGCCAAGTCCCCTGGCTCCGGCTCCTGCTATGGGATGAGAGCGGGAAGGTAGTGCCTCTGGAAGGCCCTGATGGCTTCAGGTTATCTTGAGGCAGGTGACCAAGGCAGTGGAGGATGAGCTGGTTAAGGACTGGGCCTAGTTTCCCAGGGACACATATTTTGTCCTTTAAAAATGGGTCTCAGAGACGATGCTCAACTTCAGCCCTTTTTGCTCCTTTTCTGGGGGAGCCACAGCCAGGAGTTGAAAGGTTATGGTAACTATGCAGGTCTAGAACATCTCTGTTTGCCCAAGTGGATAGACAACAGGAAGACATAGATCCTGCTGAAATCTTCCAGACGGTGTCAAGTTGGGAAGGACTGTTATGTTACTTATTAATTAGTTATTTGTCTGTCTGGAGAGCAAATCAGGCCTCATAAATGCTAAACACATAATTCTCCTCCTATTTGGACATCACGGTGACCATTCCAGTAGAAATGGGACTCAAAGCAGAAGGTTCAGGCATTCAAAGTCACCTTCAGCTACCGATGGGGTTCCAGGCCAGTGTGAGCTCAGTGGGTAGAGACACCTCTTATCACCTGCCAATAGACCTAAGTTGGTCCTATACACACGCACACACAAAATTCTAGTTTTTAAAACATCTTTTAATCTAAGACAATAAAAAGCAAGGGTTAGATGATAGCTAATATGTGAATTCTGCCTCATTCCAGGTATGCTGGCTCTCCTTTAGTCTCCATAATTAGCACATGAGGTAGATAGTTCTGTCGGCTCCATTTTACAGAGGGGGAAACTGAGGCACAAAAGGCACCATGTGTAAGTTTACATAGCTAGAGTGATGGACACTTGTCTTAGACATGTGTCACCCTGAAGAGTTATATTAGCTCTATGGAGAGGCAGCCTGGTGGCCATCAATCACGGTGACCCTGCTCCACAGCCCCCTTCCCATCCCGCAGTCTGCGGGTACAGTGAGTGTCAGGGAGGATGCTGTTGTCAGGCCTGCGGAACTCTGCCCCTTTGCCTGGCTGCAGCCGCACCTCCCCCTCCCACAGGACACACAGGGAGGGGGTATTACTTTTGCTTTTGTTTCATTTCAGTTTGCCCCTCTACTTGGGCCCACTCAGTCCCCGGTGGGACTGTGTGACTCATGAGTCACAGTGGAAAGCCCAAGGGAGTCAGAAGACCTACCATCTTGTCCTAATTGGGGCAACTCAGTGTGGAAAACATACCTCTTGAAAGAAGGTAATAGAACAAAGAATGTCTTAGTCATAGCAGCCAGCCAAGTCCTTCCTCCCAGCGTGAGAGTTTGGAGGGGTTCCCCACAGGAGCTGTAAGTGCCAAGGGGGAGTCACTGTGCCTTGTCCCATCCCAGTGTGCAAGGCACATGTAGAAGCTTCAGGTGGCCGCAGGCCTGGCTGAAGAACAGAGGCCAAGGTTAGGACCATGAGGGCTACAGTCAGGCACTTACAGATGTGTGATCTGGACAGATTGTAGGTCCCAGCCTCCCTTCCTTCAGTCACAAAATTGAAAGGATGCCTTTTGAGAGGGTAGCGGGGAGGGTTTCGAGGCAGGGTTTCTCTGTGTAACCCTGGCTGTCCTGTCCGGGAACTCTCTTTGTAGACCAGGCTGGCCTCGAACCTGGAGATCATCTGCCTCCAAGTCCTAGGATTAAAGATGAGGGCTACCACTGTCAGGTAGAAGGGTGCCTTCTTGAGGGCATTGGGAGGAGAGAGGGAAGAAAGCATGAGCAAAAGCCTGGTGATCTCCTGGGGAGGGGAGGGGGGAGTTCTCCTAACTACTCAGCTTTTCTCTTGTGAGCCCCATTTTCCTTTTGTAAAAATGAGGAGCCATCCCAGAAGCGGGATACCCCAGAGACCTAGGATAGATCCAAACACTAATGGCAAAAAAATACATAAATAAAAACAAAAACAAGTCAATGAAATGCTTCTGGATGTTATTCTGCTTTACTCATAGATTGGTACCCAGTCCAACTGTCACCTAAGGGGCTTCAGTCAGCAACTGATGGAAACAGATGCAGAGACCCACACCCAAACATTAGGGAACCCTGAGGAAGAAGAAGAGGAAGGGTTGTAGGGCCCAGTGGAGTTAAGGGCACCACATGAAAACGGACAGAACCAACTAACCTGGGCTTACAGGAGGAGCTCACCAGACTGAACTAACACACAGGGAGCCTGCATGGGACTGACCTAGGGCCTCTGCATATGTCACAATTGTATAACTTGGTCTTTGTGTGGGACTCCTAACACTGAGAGCGGTGGATGTCTCTTGACTGCGTTGCCTGCTTTTGGGACCTATTTCTCCTGCCAGATTGCCTCATGCAGCCTTGCTGGAGGAGGGCATGCCTGGTCGTACTGCAGCTTGATATACCATGACTCGCTGATATTCATGGGAGGCCTGCCTATATCTGAAGAGAAACTGGAGGGGGGATGGATGGGGCAGGGTGGGGGTGTGTGGAAAGAGGGGAGGGAGAGGAACAAGCAAATAAATAAATAATGAGGAATGATGACCTCCGAAGGCAAATCCTAAGAGCTGCCAGTTAGGAAATCCTGGTCAGTGCTAGGTCACCTGCCAGGGCTCTTATCCACTCCACATGCAAAGATGGCTCCAAGAGGTCAGATAATTTGTTTCAGATCACAGAGCTAGGAGATAGTCCAGCAAGGGCTTGCTCTCGAGTCTTCTTTGAACTGGGAAGCAGATCGGCCTTCGGAAAGGGCATGAGCTAGCCAATAGAGGAGCTTGTTTGCTGCAGGAGGCCTGAGATCACCCTCAAGAGCAGGATGGTGGGTATGGGATTAGAAACAGTGTATTTCGTCCCATACTCTGAACACACCTAGACCCGGATATTTTGTTTCAGTTCATCTCACTGCTAGGGAACTTATCTTTTTTTGACCTCAAGAGTTTTCGATTAATTTTATCTTTTTAGATTTTGTGTGTGTGTGTGTGTGTGTGTGTGTGAGAGAGAGAGAGAGAGAGAGAGAGAGAGAGAGAGAGAGAGGAGTGTTTTTCTTGAATATATCTATGTGTATCACATGAGTCAGTGCCCAAGGAGGACAGAAGAGGGTGTCAGGTCCCCTAGCACTGGGGTTGTGGGTGGTTGTGAGCCACCATGTGCTGCTGGGAACTGAATCCAGGTCCTCCGCAAGAGCAACAGGTGATCCTAAAGGCTGAGCCATTTCTGAAGCCGCCATCATTTTTTTTTTCTTTAATGTGTACATGTATACAGAAATGTGTTGGGTGCCTGAGGAAGCCGGACGAGGGTATCAGATCCCTGAAGCTGGAGTTACAGTGGTTGTCAACCACTTGATCTGTTTGCTTGGAACAGAACTCTTGATTTTCTGGAAGCACATCCTGTGCTCACAACCGCCAGAGTCCACGGAACGAGTTCAAGGCTAGCCTGCTCTACTTGTGTCTCCAGACAACATTCCCCACACGTGTGTCACGTTCTTTACCACCTCCGCTGACACTGATGGCCGTTAGACTCTTTGGATGCTTGCCCGCCATGGTCTCACTACAGTTCCCGTCTCTTTGTGACCCCCATTTCCCTTCTGCTGAGTTGTCCCTCCTCTCTGGAATTTTCTCCCCTCCCCATCTATCCCTTGCAGTCTCAAAAAGACCCAGAGTCTGTGCGGAGTGGAGGCGGGGAGGGCTGCAAGGGTAGTCTTTCCACCAA